ATACCATAATAGGAACAACGATGGATCATGGAGTCAACTGAAGTAATTGAAAGGTGGTGTCTTGAGGATCGTGTCGCCCCGATGGGATGCTAATTTTTGTTATATCTTACCCAGGCAAGCCCCGGTGCATAACCCCTATTATTCTGCACTTTATTTTATGCTTGTGCATTAAGTTTAAGGAGTTGAATGAAACCCACTAGTATATATATATATATATATCCTTATCCTATGAGTTTTACTAGTATGACAGGATCGTGTAGATTGCTATGCTACAGGACTCTAGTAGAAGTCGAGTGATTGCCTATCACTCGCGAGAGATAGGAAAGATGTTATTATTGCTATTATATTATTATCACCTAGAAAATATATATGAATGATAATTGGAGACCGGGCGGAATGATACTTTGGATCTGGACTTGGGTTTGGCATTCGAGCGAGGCTCGGATTGCATTTGTTCCACCTGTGTTGGTTAAGGACCGGCTGTTGCATTGGGTTCTAGGCAGGTCATAGGCTTATTATCCTAAGCACATATTTGTTTATGGGAGAAAGGACAGCTCGTTACTCTCTTGTCATGGGTTCTGGCTCTTTTCGGACCGACTAATTGGAGGCAGGGATAGTGGAGGTCTAAGCACCACACTAAGTCCGGGACTCAGGTGTGGGGGCTTGGAGTCCAAGTTTGGACAGGGACCTGGACCCCTTGACAGGAGAGTGGTGGATTTGTCCTGTTGGTGCCTAGGGTACAAGCGAGGCATGTGTTTCGGGGTAAGCTGGGATACATTGGTTCGCGAATCACCCGGTAATCCAGTATGACTTGTTTACAGTCTAGCACCGTAGTAAGAACTGAAATATGAAAGATGGTAAAATGGTTCTGATTGCTTACCACCTGCTTGAAAGTAGCACAGGTGCTTACATAGAATGGTTAGTTAATGAACTAATGATGACTGCTAATAAAATTGAATATAAGGACGCACGATTAGTAATGCTCCTGCAGATGCAATAAAACCACAAGCTAGATAGCCTTGCATATCCTTGGAGTCTATTCTTTCCTCCTGACGGGTAAGTCTTGCGGAGTACAATTGAGTACTCAGGGTTTGTTCTACCCTGTTGCAGGTGACAGGAACATGTGGAGCTGACACTTGTGTGTGGAAACCTCCTGGTGGGCTCAGTGAGGATTTCCTTAACATTGCGGACATAGAGTTTATTTGAAACTTTCATCCAAAATGTTTTACAATGGAAAAATTTATAACCTGTTATGATGTATATAACGAATCATCATGTTAATGTTTAACTTGTCATTAAATGATTTTATTTCCGCTGAGACTCTGATAACATGATTATATTCCGCTGTTATAAACAATAAATATTATACTCTGATGTTGCATGAAAAGTGATGTAAGAAATAGCTAAAATGTTGTAAGCTTTATTCTCCAATTTATGATCCTGTTGAAAAATGTGGATTTTCGGGTTCTCCTATGGGGTGTGCTCAATGGAATTGCGTAATTTAGTGTCCTCCCTTGAGTACTTAGTGTTTAATGGAAGACAAGTACTCCTGGAAGGCATTAGATTAGGCAGTTCTGCTACATTCCTCCACCACGCGGCCGCGACCACAGCATCTTCCTCCTCCCCGGATCGCAGCCCATGGCCGTCTGCCCCTATCGGTACCCGACGACGCACAAGGATGAACTGGAGTGGCAATGCGCTGCCATGCTGGACCAGGGGCTCATTCACCGGAGTTCCTCGGCGTTCTCCTCCCCGATCCTCCTCGTCAAGAAGGCCGACGGCTCATGGCGCTTCTGCGTCGACTATCGGGCCTCGAACGTGATCACCGTCAAGGACGCCTTCCCCATCCTGGTGGTCGACGAGCTGCTAGACGAGCTCCACGGCGCCAAGTTCTTCACCAAGCTCGATCTGCACTTGGCTACCACCAGGTCCGGATGAGTCCTGTCGACATCGCCAAGACGGCGTTCCGCACGCATGATGGGCTCTACGAGTTCCTGGTGATGCCGTTTGGGCTGTACAACGCCCCGACCACCTTCCAAGCCCTCATGAACAACGTTCTGCGCCCCTTCCTCCACTGGTTCGTGCTTGTATTCTTTGACAACATCCTCATCTATAGCACCACCTGGGCGGATCACCTCCGGCACGTCCACGCCACCCTCACCGTGCTACGACAGCACCGCCTCTTCGTCAAGCGCTCTAAGTGTGCCTTCAGGGTTGGCTCCATCTCCTACCTGGGCCATATCATCACCAAGGCCAGCGTCGCCATGGATCTCGCCAAGGTGCAGGCGATCCATGACTGGACCCAGCCCCGCTCGGCGCGCGCGGTGCGAGAGTTCCTCGGCTTAGCGGGCTACTACCGCAAATTCATCCATGACTATGGCTCCATCGCGCCCCCCTCACGACGCTCCTGAAGAAAGAGGGGTTCAACTAGAACGATGATGATGCCGCGGCCTTCCAAGTGCTCAAGGCCACGGTCACGTCGGCCCCAGTCCTGGTGTTGCCAGACTTCGCCAAGCCATTCGTCGTCGAATGCGATGCCTCAAGCCACGGCTTCGGGGCGATGCTCATCCAGGAGAAGCACCCGATCACCTACTTCAGCCCGCCCATCATGCCTCATCACCGTTCCCTCACCACCTACGAACAAGGGTTGATCAGCCTCATCCATGCCATCCGCCATTGGTGACCGTACCTTTGGGGCCGCCGTTTTCTGGTGCGAACGGCCCACTATAGCCTCAAGTCCCTCCTCGATCAATGCCTCGCGATGATTCTGCAGCACCACTGGGCTAGCAAACTCCTCGGGTTCAACTCCACCATCGAGTACAAGCCTGGCGCCACGAACACGGTGGCTGATGCCCTCTCACGCCGCGACACCGATGAGGGCGCTATCTTGGCCATCTCTGCACCATGGTTAAACTACATCGCGCGCCTCCGCTAGGCATAGGCCACCGATCCTGCCCTCGTTGCAATTCGGGACGAGATCACCGTGGGTACCCACGCGTCACCGTGGTCCATGATCGACGGCATGGTGACCTTCGACTCCCGCCTCTACATTCCACCAACATCGACCCTACTATCGAAGATCATGACCGCCGTGCACGAGGACGACCACGAGGGTGTGCAGCGCACCGTGGACCGCCTCCGCCGCGACTTCCACTTCCCCAACATGCGCCGCCTGGTTTAGGACTACGTCCGCGCATGCTCCACCTGCCAGCGCTCCAAGTCGGAGCACCTACATCTAGCCTGCCTCCTCATGCCCCTTCCAGTACCGCAAGCCGTCTGGATCGACATCAGCCTCGACTTCGTGGAGGCGCTGCCGTGCGTGGGTTGGAAGTCTATCATATTGATGGATGCCGATCGCTTCAGCAAGTACATCCACTTCATCCCCTTGGCTCACCCGTACACCGTAGAGTCCATGGCACAGGCCTTCTTTGTCGACATTGTACGCCTCCACGACGTGCTGCAGTCCATGGTGTCCGACCGTGATCCGGTGTTCACCTCCACGTTCTGGCGGGAACTCATGCGCCTCATGGGCACCAACCTGCACATGACGATGGCTTTCCATCCGCAATTGGATGGCTAGACGGAGGCGGCCAACTGCGTCATCGTCATGTACCTACGCTGCTTCACCAGCGACCGCACCCGCCAATGGCTCTGCTGGCTGTCCAAGGCCGAGTACATCTACAATACGGCCTACCAGACTTCACTCCGTGACATGCCACTCCATGTGGTGTATGGTCGCGACCCACCGACCATTCGCTCCTATGAGCCGGGCGAGACGTGTGTGGTTGCTATCGCCAAGAACATGGCGGACCGCGACGAGTTCCTCGCAGACGTCCGCTATCGACTGGAACAGGCCCAGGCGGTCCAGAAGTGCCACTATGACAACCTTCACCGCCCCGTCTCCTACGTGGTTGGCGATTGGGTCCTGCTCCGCTAGCGTCATCATGCTGCCGCCTCCCTGACCTAGGCGACCAAAGGGAAGCTCAAGCCTCGCTTCTTCGGGCCGTACCGCGTCACCGAGCTCATCAATGTTGTCGTGGTGCGCCTTGATCGGCCCCCGCGCACTCGGCTCCACGACGTCTTTCACGTTGGCCTCCTCAAGAAGTTCGTCGGCGTCCCACCAGCTGTGCCACCGCCCCTCCCGGCCGTCCACAACGCCACAACAGTGCCGCCATCCCCGAGCCTGAACAAGCGATGCGCTTCCGCTTGGCACGCGGCGTCCGCCAGGTGCTCATTCACTGGAAGGGTGAGACTGCTGCCTCCACGACATAGGAAGATGTCTACTCCTTCCTCGATCGGTACCCAGCATTCTAGCTCGAGGATGAGCTGCTAGTCTAGGGGGGGAGAGATGTCATGTGGGGCCGCACCTACACAAGGGAAACGGCGCGCCCGGGATGCTTGCAGAGCCGCAGACAGCGCGCCAGCGGCACTGTAGGCACGGTCACCACGCTCTGCATGCGCACGCGGAAGAAGGCAAGTGTCTGGAAGGCAGTAGAGCCGATCATGGCCTTAGATTGAGGAGCAATTGGCTCCAAGTTGTTATGGCCGAATGGCCTATATAATCTTGTACTCAGTATGGTGATAATCAAGCAAGAACAATTACCCAATTCCCTAATCTTCCTCTGCTGAAACAACTGGGCGCTGAGGGGTAAAACCTCGCCCCTAACCACGGATAACGGCTACGATCTACGTAGCCGGGGTCCTCCTACCCTATCCCTCGACGCCCTTGACAGGAATAAGGAAAAATACAGGAATATAAAATGAATGAATGTGCAAAATAGAGGATGAAAAAAACACAGGAATGCGAACACATGAACCAGATGATGGATGAATAAGATAAAACTCATATTCTAATAATGTGAGGACATAATGATATAGTAATTAAGAGTTTGAAATAATGTACAGACTTTTCCCTCGTTTCACCTCCATTCTTAAACGGGCCTAAAGTGTTTGAAATTCCCAATCTCAACAGAGAGAAGTTGATTCTGCCATTCACTCTCTCAGGATTCCTCATCAGCCGGTGGTGGTTTGTCAAAAACAACCATCACAATCACCTCATCAACCACAGTACCCTCCTTCTCAATGAACACGTCTCCAGTTATATCCATAGCAGCAAGACCTCCATCTACTCTGGTGCTCAGCACGGTGATCTCCTCCTTGTGGTGATTATTTGGCAGTGCATTGACCTGTGCTTGCGTTGTTACGGTGACACTACACTTGGATCCTGGTGGGACAATGCCCTTGTCTGGCTCTATGCGGAAGCAGCGTGACCTTGCCTTTGCCATGAAGGCAATGTAATCATTTGTATCGTTGGTCATCTCAATTGAGTGTGATATCTGCGGGTCAAGTTTAAAGGGGAAGTGTATTTCCAGCGGCTCAATCCCAACCATGTCCTCCAGGCAAGGGATTTCCTGTGATGGAGAAATTAAAGATGCATTAGCTTTACCAGAGCCTATCAAAGCTTTAGATCCCTTGAGCTTCAGGGAGCACATAGGGCATACCTGGAATTGGCCACCCTTACTATCTATTGTGTTGAGCTCATCCATTACGTATACTATGTCAGGTCTGGCTGTCGGGTTAATTTGGATGCATCTTTGGGCCAGCTCGAGGCATTTTGTCACTTGTTGATAACCCAAGGGTGTATGCTTTGATGATTTAATCCACCTGTGCCTCCATCTTCTAAGTACCTGCATTTACACAAAACCATTCAAATTGGCACCAAAATATTTAATGCAACTGGCATGTACATTGTTATCGGCTTAATAATACAACTAAAGAGACGTTGTTGGCTATAGTAACACAGGTTTGGAATATGTCAAAAGTATCCTAATTCCTGTATCTGAGAATTGCACTGTTTCCAGTAAACAAGCTATAATGTTCATGTGAAATTCCTATGTGATCCTTGTATGAAATGATGCCCAATCAATTTAAGAATTTTAAGTTGTTTTGGAAATAAAAAGAATTACAGAAAAAATGACTCACAACAAGTAGACAATTATATACGAAAGCGAAGTATCAAACAGTAACGTTTTTATTGTTTTTTTGCATTGGAATTATCCCTAATGAAACGTAAGTGCTTTTCCATTCTAGATTGATCTTACTAGTGAAATAACCAGCTCAACTACTTTCATTCAAGGTTTTTTGTATTAGCATCATGACCAAAAGAGGACATATCCATGCAACGATGACATAACCACAACTCTTACTTTGGTAAGATCAGGCCCCTTTTTACTTCCTGTCACCAGCTCTGTAACCATTACTCCCAAACTATATATATCTGACTTGCTGGACGATTTGCCTTCGAGAAAGTATTCTGGAGCACAATATCCTCTGCATGATAAGAACACACATATCAACACGCTATGACATAAAGACCTTGTAAGAAGACAAGTGTCAGAAACAACGATGTATTATTAGTAGCTTACGGTGACATAAGACGCGATGTGGTCGCTGCTTGTGAATTATTGTCAAAGTCTCGATAGACCAAAATCTGTAATTTTGGGCACCATGACATTGTAGCACTCGGTTTTAAGGACAAAACCAGATACACATCATATGTGAGCACAGCAAGTCAAATCTCACATATAGCTACAAATAAGGGTAATATCGAAAGACAATGCTCAATATATAACGTACTTAGTATAAAGAATATAACCTTAGACAGCAAACAGCGGAAAGACAACTCCGTTCTTCGGGCGAAGACTCCAATTCCACAGGGACAACTGACTGGTTGATCACAAGCCTAATTTCTCCAAACTCTAGCAATCTGGTACCCATCCGGGATTTTTCCAAATATGTGTAAAATAAAGCAAGCGTAAGTACATGTCGTACTCAACAAATACAACATGGGGTTCATGAGGCTCAAAAGGCTGACACTAGTTAACTGCGATTAGCTTTTAATAAGTCATCTTTTAGCAATTGGGTGGCAACAAAGTTATCATAAGCCCATAAACACATGATTAGATAAACATGAATAACGAATAGCATAAACAGTAATTATTAGTGAGCATCTTCATCATCAGTATCATCTGTGTTCATCATCTATTTCGTAAGGGTTCCAAGGCCGCTCATGACCGTGAGTACGGCTGATATACCAGTTTTACACTCTGCAGAGGTTGTACACTTTCACTGTGAGTCGTGATTTACCCTTTCGCCCGAGGCGGCCAACCTCTTGACCCACTACCAAGGAAGGTCGGCAGGGTTCACTATGAAGTCTTTCAAAGGTTCGTCTAACAAGTTAGGGCCATTAGATTCACTCGGCAAACAGATATAGGAACCCCCTGTCGAATGGCACAATTACATCGTGGCTATACACATAAGAGTAGAGGTTGTCCTATACCCGATTCGGCAAGCCATTCTTACGCCAATAAAGGTAACCACTAACAAGCTAGAAAAGGTCCTCGTACTGAGCTAAAGCCAGAGCCATATAGCCCTCACAGTTGTACTGTAAGTCCCGGATGATCATTTACAGATAAATCCTTAGGGAGAGAAATCTAGAGCACCATAAAATAGCCCAATGCTCTAGTCCTCTTGTTCCATGTTGCTAAAAAGCATCTTTTAGTGTTTATTGCATATGCCATAAGTCAAGTTACAAAATCATGGTTGTAGTTGAGCGCTAGCATCATACTACCAAATGCAATAACCCGAAGGTATCAAGGTACAGGGTAACAAAGTACTAGGAAATCCTTAGTGGCAGTCAAGATAGACACATGCAGTATGAATTAAGTGATTAATGGTGTATAGAACAACAAGGAAGATCCCATGCTATACTTGCCTTAAAATACCAATCCTTCGGTAAGCTTAAATCTTCAACGTTTTTCTTCTTCTTCTTCTTGATCACCACGTATATCTCACCGACTGGACTTAATCATAAAGCACCACACAAACATCCATGCAATCATACACGAAGCAAACAATAGATCTAAATTAGAACAATACACCAAACATAGAAAAATAAGTAAAATAGTTTGAAATATGATTCTACGCACCGCTACGAACACACAAACATGAGAGACACGCTAATCGGAGCTACCCTTTGATAGAAACGGCTACCGAAAGATCTACTCATAAAGAGAAAATATAAAACTACAAGCTTCATGTGTTTTAACTATATAAAAGCTTATATAAATTGAATTAAGTCAAATTTAGATTTGAATTATAAAACTAAAGTAAAACAAATCATATTTTATTTACAAAACCCAGTTGCATAATTATTAATCAAGATATGATTTAAACAATGAAATTTCAGAAATAGTAATATGGTAACCACTGTTACTAACGCATAGATCTCGCTATGAATCTAACACAACTTGAATGGACTAAAACGGAGTTAAAACGCAGAAGATATGATTTAAACAAGATTTCCTTTAATAAAATAATAGATTAAATCTAATCATGAATTTTAAAAATTCAAAACACATCTAACAGTAGTATAAACATATAGATTATGAAATTACGAACCTAACACAATTTGAACGGATCAAATCGGAGTTAAAACAGAGAAGTTATGGCTAAAACGAAATCAGTGGCAATTCTGTAGATAGCAGAAAACGTATTTTAGACTTAACCGAAACAAAATTACGCTTTCAAACGAAGAAAACTAAATCTGTAAACATATTTTGGACTGCGTTTTTATTTTCTGAAAATACAGGGTCTCTTTAGCAAAAAGAACAGCGAAGGGGTAAGTTCTAATCTGGACCACTGATCTAAAAACGGACGGCTCATGATGATGTGTATTTCTATTGTATTTCAAGGTTTGTTTTCTTAAAGAAAAACGGCCACAAAACTCATGCATGACCTCATATGACGTCATCAAGCTAGCTAGCAGATTGGAACAGCGCAACGCATGCAGGCTCACGGCCGGTGGCGCCATGGCCGGTGATGGAGCTATGCCGAAACAGTGATATCGAGAGCGGTTAACAACGGGAAGGACTTGGGGAGGTGGAGAAGAGAACGGTGAGCTTACTTCGGCGGGTCTCGGCGGCGCGGAGCAAGCGGAGACGACACTGTGCTGGGCGAAGCGGACCGCGACTTCCTGCTAAGTTCGGCGACAGGGTGAGCAGCCCAGAAAGCAAGGGGAAACAATAAAACGGATCGGGGAGATCTACTACCACCAAGTGATGCTCGGGAACTTTCTCGGGTCAATGGAGAGGCTTCCGACGATGGTCACAGCTGCGGCGGCGGGTGACTGGCTCCTCGGCGAGATCCGTCGTAAGCAGGACGGTGATGCTTGTGCTCCGGCGATGTTGCACTAGCCACTAGGGTTTGGGGAAAGCGGCGCTGGTACGGCTGCTATTTATGAGGGGCAAAGGCGTGGCGCGCAAGGCACGGCAGAGGACGGGGCAACGATTGCACTAGCCACTAGGGTTTGGGGAAAGCGGCGCTGGTACGGCTGCTATTTATGAGGGGCAAAGGCGTGGCGCGCAAGGCACGGCAGAGGACGGGGCAACGACGGACACTCGGACGGCGGCGGTGGAGTCCGTGTTGCTCACGAGGTAGGAGGAGGAGCTGACGGGCGGACCCAGGCTGTCAGCGAAACAAGGCGGTGGACGCTTGCACGGCAGCGTCGGGGCTGGGCCGGCCCACGAGCGAAGTGCGAAGAAACGGGAGACGGTCGGCTGGGCCAAGCGGAGAAACGGAGCTGGGCCTGCGTGCTGGCGTGGGCCGAAGCGGGAGGAGCAGAACGGCCCGCGGGAGGAAGGCCGAACGGGATGGGCCGGCGGAGGGAATGGGGCAGCTGGCGCTGGAACTGGGCCAACAGGCCAAATAGGGAGAGAGGGAAGAGAATTCCTTTTCCAATTTTTAAACCAATTTTGAATGCAAACTCAAATCAAGTTGAGATCCAATTTTAAATGTGAACCAAATCAAATTTGAACACGGTTTAAAATATATTTTTCAGTTCAAATAAAAATGAACAATTTTCCTATATTTCATGAGCACAAAATTTAGAAATAAATCGTTTTAAACCTATTTTCAAAAGAGGCAAATTTTAGAGTGTTACAGAGATCGTCTAGCAGTATATTCGCAGGCTTGAGATCGATGTGGACGATATCCTTCTCCTTGTGAAGATAGAGCAAACCTTTGCAGATCCCCACAATAATTTCATAACGAGTATGCCATTCAAGTCCCCTCAGTTCATCTTAAGAAGTATATGAAGAATCAAGAGTATTTTAGAAGCTGCAAATAAATAATAACGTGCCCAGTGTATGTGCAAGTGAGCATTGAACAAAATGTTGGCCTTTTTTTTTCTGTAGACTGTCCATGATTATTCATCAAATGCAATTTAAAAATTAGGATTACAGTAGTGAAGATGCACGGTGCGATCAAGAAAGTAACCATATCATATGAAAATGCAGTTGTGCGCTTTGGTCACTGGACTGTATGTAAGCAAATGAATAGAAGAATATTGATAGCGTTTACTTGAGTATTTACAAATTTATTTTAAAATTCAGGAAGTGTCCATGATTAGGGTTTGACTCTTGATCAGATTATTTCTCTATTGTGCTCTTTAATTTAGTTTTCACTGTTGATGATCTTAGTTTAATTTTTTGTTTGGCATATTTTTGCTTGCAAGCACTGTGTTAGATTGCTGATTATTGGATCTGCTGTCTTATAATGTGAATTGGAGAGCTACTGATATCATGTAAAAAGAAGTCATACCTGTGAGATGGCTCTCAAGGTTTCGGTTGCTTATGTACTCAAAACAGAGCAACCTTTCCCCGTATATCAGCCATAATTGTTCTTCCTTCAAATATTAACACGCGTCCTTCAAATATTAACATGCGTTCTTCCGTAAAAGAACAATAACCCAGAAATCGTACTATATTTTTGTGCCTAACCGTGATCAAACTTTGAACCTCCCGATGGAACATCTTGTCTTTAATTGTTCAGCTGTTGAAAAGCCTTTTCATAGCAACAATTCCATTTGGAAGCATGCCCTGTTTATAATATCCTTAATTATGAGAAAGACCATGACCATTATGTCAAGTAATGCTATGAAAAGAGCAAACATGAAGGTGTGGTGCCATAAAAATTGCAGTTACCTTGTAAACCTCTCCACATCCACCAACACCAATTTTTCTCTGCTCAGAGAAATTTTCTGTGATGCTCTGTAGAAGTGACAAATCTAGATGGCTTGGTTCCTCGCTTCCAGCTACTACACGCTCGAGTATGTTGAGATCCATAGTCTACCGATGCAGGGTACGTAACGGTGCATTTTTTTTTGTTTATGAAATACGAGTTCAGTGTTGTTGACAATGTAAAAAAAAGTTTTGGAACAAATGCCATAAGCAAAAAAAAAACTATGATACAAAAACAGCTAACTTTCAATATGCTACACTTTCCAAACAGATGGACTACGAGGTTCTAATGAAATATGAATTTCTATTTCATCTCCATTAAGGGGGTGTTTGGGACTACTTCACTCCACATTTTTTTAAGCTCCGCTTCACGTTTTTTAGCCAAACAGGTTTAGCTCCACGCACTCAGTTCGAGGAAAAAATATGAAGTTGTGAG